ATAAATAAAAATGTTCAGGACTTATAGATAAAAAAAAGTCTCTATTAAGAACCTATTGGATAATAACTCTTGAAAAGAGGACTGACCCGTAAAAATCTTTTTTTTATTCGTAGTTATGATTTGAGTATGTTGAGTCTCATCAACTTCATAATGACCAAATCAACTGAAAAAAAGGTTAACTATTATCTTAAATGCAACTTTTATAATCAGACTAAATAACTAATGAAAATAGCCAAATTTTCAAATGAGAGCATCTCTAAGGGGATAGTTAAACATGGCTTGTTAGGTATTTTAGCTAATGTAAGTCTAATTTTGAGCTCCAATGGACTAGTTATTGGGCTAGCTACTTTACCATCCTATTTTTTTGGTGGCTACAATTGAAGAGCTCCAGAGGCTCTCCAACCAATTATGTATGTATATATTTTATATTTTTATATATTTATGTCTTCGATATGGGATTTTATATATATATATGTGTGTGTGTGTGTGTGTGTATGTAGTAATTTTATATGTTTTTTCAATTCTGCTTGACAAAATAACTTATTTTGTATTTTTTTCTCCTCATTCTACAGGTTTTGTATGTTTGTATGAGCAAATTTATTATTATTGCCAATTTATATTAGTAAAATATCAACCATTAGTATTTTTTTATTTTAAAAATTAATTAAGTTAGTTTAAATGATTAGCTAAAATAAATAGCGTGGTTGGAGAACACAACAGCTAAAGTAATTAGGTAAAATAAAGAGTGTACTTTTTTTGTACTTTAGCTAGTGAAAAGTAGAGAGTGTGGTTGGAGTTGCTCTTAAATAGCAAAGTGTAGACATTCCATTTTGACTAACCCTAAGATTTTGGACGCTTACAATTATCTCCATGATGAAACAGTACTTATTTCATCTTTGGAATATTTAAAATTGTTTAGAATTGCTGTATAAAACCTATTTTAGCCAAAAGTCGACTTTTTTGCAAAAATAACCATTTTACCCCTAAACCTATTTTTAGCCAAAAATTAAATTTTTAACCCCGAGAAAGAGAGGAAAGCCCAGTTGTACTGTGATTGAAGAGATTTTCCAAAATTAGTGGCCGAATTTTTCAAAAATATTGATCGGAGAGCGATTCAGGCTTGCTTGAGCCACAAACAAGCCAATGGCAAAGGCTCCGGCACTTGTCCATGCAAAGTAAAAAAAAAAAAATTGCTTAAAATATTTAAAAAATTCAATAAAAATAAAAAAAATACGAAAAATAAGAAAGCAGAATTTTCTGAAAAGTGTTTTTGAAAAAATACAACCAAGCAAGCTGAATACAGTTTTTTCTTTGTGCTTTTATTGTAGCCGTTCATAGCCAATCCCTTAGTCCTAATCCAAGGGTTACGATACTAATATCAATTATCAAACTGGCAACATTATTTGAAAACATTTGCCCTCTAGTTAATCCACAATACATTGATATTGTATAAAATGTATATTTTTTAAGTAAATAATAGCATGCTATATAAAATTCTTCGGTTACTAGAATTTGAACAATATTGTTTCAATATTAAATAGTTGCTGGAATATGAATTCTGCTCTTACGTAATGAGACAGAAGATCCCCTATCATAAAATTTTTATTTTTTATTTCATATTAATCTAATTTAAATTTGAAGGTGTGACATGTTTATTTAATTCAATTTTGCTGTTGCTTACATGTGCATGTTTAATCATAGGCTGGAAGTAGAAGAGAATGCTGCGACATGGTACAAGAGGCCGGCATGAATACTTCCGAGGTCAAACTTAGGGCCTGCATGAAACATGAACTTCTGGCTTAAAAATGTACTAATTTCACTGTTTGACTCGGTCAACTTTTCAAATTTTTGGCCTCTGTGTGTGTGAACTTGTGGCTTAAATTTAGGCTTAGTTTGACCTAATAAAAAAAAATTAAAAAATTAAAAATTCAGTATTCTACTTAAGTTATATTATCTTATTTAAGTTACATTATCTCTCTATCACATCACTTCAAACTCAACTCATATTTCATAAAAAGTTAAAAAATACACTTATTTAATTTATCCCAAACAATCTCATACTGTCAAAATGATAAAATATATGTCTAAAATTTTTATTATTATTTTGAGCTGGGCTTTCAAATCTGGATTAAGGGGCATTGTTTGAACTTGTCGATTTATTACGGTCTTATTTAAATGATTTAAATTGTTTTTTTTTATTTAAAATCATTCGTGTATTTCAAATCTGGATTAAAGGATGTTGTCCAAACTTCTGAGATCATTATAATTTTTTTTTGATGATTCGAATCGTTCATTTTATAAGATCCTTCGTGTATGTAATTCATATAAAAACTTAAATCAATCAAATTATTTAATTTATTACATATGTCTAAAAAAATGTACAACAAGTGTATAACTTTTTAAATAGATTATTCAATTTTTTTATAACAAATTTGATAAATTAAATATGTTACGATTTTAGATTAACTTAATTTTTTTTTGTGAGTGATATAAATAAAAGATCATCCAAAATAAATGATTCAAGTTGTTAAAACACCACTTGCGAGGAGTCCTATTAGATTGGACAATACGCTCCGATCCGTATTTGGATTGGAGGCAACCCATACTCTTTTATTTTTCGACAATACTACGTATCTCAAATTTTGTGGCTCAAAAGTGGCTCAAATGACCAAAACGACGTCGTTTTGAGTACAGAACAACATAAAAATGGCCAAAACGACCGTTTTGACCATTTGAGCCACTTTTGAGTCACAAAATTTGAGTTACGAGACATTTTCCTTTATTTTTTAAGTTCTTTATTTGACAAATGATAGAAATAGTCAATCTAGCATTGTCATTACTCTAGTTTAGGGTTTGCTTTGGTGTATCAAGCAAAATACAAAAACACTCAAAATTTGATGAAAATATATAATTTTTTTTTATTTGTGATTTCAAAAATTACAAATAACTTTGAAGTTTAAAATAAACAGATAAATATCACATTTTTTTGTGTTATCTATGTTATTTAATCACACTTTTTAAGTTTTGTCAAAGTGTGATATTTGGGAGTGTGATTAAAAAGTGTCATTTTTAATCACTTCTTTTAAGTGTGATTAATAACATTTAGATCACATCTTTTAAGTGTGATTAAAAACTAATAAAACTTGTGATAATAAACATTTAGATTACACATTTTAAGTGTGATTAATAACATTTAGATCATATCTTTTAAGTGTAATTAATAACTAATAAAACATGTGATAATAAGCATTTAAATCACATCTTTTAAGTGTGATTAATATCTAATAAAACTTGTGATTAATAATGATATAAGATCACATGTTACATATATTTTTTATCACAGTTAATGCGTGTGATAAAAAAATAATTCAACATATTTGAAGAATAATTAATATTATTTTTGTACGCGCATTTCAATAATGTAATACACACTATATACTATACTTTAAATCATAATCACATGTTGAATGGAGTAACGTCATATATTTCACAAATAAAAGTTAAATATGTTCAAAAATATATATAAAGGAATTAAATAAAAAGTTCCACTACTATAAAGAAATTAAATATGTACGGTGGTGATTGTGCCTTTTCACATCAAGAAGTTGCAGACCTATCAATCTCCAGCCTTGGAGCTCAATGGCTTGCTACAAGTCAACTTGTTCCTCCAATTTCCTTCTCCACAATATGTCTTGGGTAGTATCTCCAAACGTCCTTGCTTCTGAATTTGAAAAACAAACCCCAAACATTAGTGACATAATATGATTGGGTTTGCGACAATCAAGGATGAAACCAAGGGCATTCGTAGCTTTAATGTATGTGTGAATGGAGCGAAAACAATGCACATTTTTGCTTACCATGTTGGAGATCATAAGGGTCTGTTGAATCTAAGCGAGTAGGGCTACCACATGTTGAGAACTCTCATCTCTCCATTTGTTGCTGCTGATGCTGCAGCTTCTTGCAATTTCTCATTGGCATTAACAAAAAAAACATGAGAATGCTTATATCTATAGATACAGAATTCACAACATAGACAGAAGAGAAGAGGGAGTGCTTGTATTTGTCAAGGACCTTGCCCTTCTCCTTGTATGGCTTCACAAGCACCCAAGCATCACACATGCAAAATGAGGGTTCCTTTTAGCAAGAATGAGCTTAACAGTTTCTGGGTAGACAAAGGTAACAAACCCAAACATTCTCTTCTGCTGATATGGAATCCTCACATCTTGAACTGGTCCATAAATACTTGAAAAACCAATTAAGAAATAGTTTAGAAACTAAAAGGGCATTCAATTGAGTACAAATAGCCAAATCTAAACATATATACCTGGAATAATTGGAAACTATTAGGCATATGTTTAACATATGTATTAAGGGTAGTTTAGTCATTGGTAGCAATTAGGGTTAGCATAGTTGTTATATATATATATATATATATATATATGTATATATTTCTTGTAATTCATTTTTCCATTCAATTGAATAATACAATACTTAGTTCCTAACTAAGTTTTCATGGTATCAGAGCTTGGTTTTGATAGCTAACCTCTCATTGGTGTTGGTATGGACTGAAGACAATCGCGTTGGTTGCTTCTCTTCGTTTGCCACTATACACTCTTGCATCGAAGTCGAGTGGGCTTGTCTGTGTCTCACGAAGTCTCGAATCACAGTCGCGTTGGTGCCTTGCGAAGTCGAAGTCGAGTGGGCTTGTTTGTGCCTCATGATGTAGCGATTCACAATCGCGTTGATGCCTTGCGAAATCGAAGTCGAGTGGGCTTGTTTGTGCCTCACGAAGTCACGATTCACAGTTGAAGTCGTTTATTCCTCACGACTCTCCTTCTCATCTCACAGTCGTGTTTGGTTCTTCTAATCACGACTGATATTGGCTCGTTTGGTTTGAAGGTGTGATACTTAGATAATCTGCTTCAACTTCTCTTCTTCTTTCTTCTTTGTGTTGCTAGTTCCTTGTGACTTCTCTGTGAGGTTCTTTATATTTTGATATCATGTCTAGTGGAATGTCAGATTCACTTCAAGCCATTAGTGTGAAGTTAGTGGGAGATAATTATGTGTATTGGGCCTATGTCATGAAAAAATTTCTTCTAGATAAAAATGTTTGGGATGTTGTTACTAGTGATTCTCCTATGCCCACTGATGCCAATGTTGAAAAGTTTCAAGATTTGCTCTCTACTTGGCAAGTTACTAACGCCACGATTATCACTTGGATTAATAATTCTGTAGATCAGTCTATTGGGATTCATTTTGCCAAGTTTACTACTGCGAAACAAATTTGGGATCATCTATCTCGGTTGTATATTCAATCAGATTTTGCTAAATGGTATCAGTTAGAACATGAGATTTGTGCTACTCAACAAGGCAATAAGAGTATCCAGGAATTTTATTCTACCATGATTGGTTTGTGGGATCAATTAGCTTTTATTAAGCCTAAGTCATTGAGCACTCATGAGGCATATTGTACTTATTTGGAAGAGTAGTGGCTGGTTCAATTCTTAATGGCCCTTAGGGCTGATTTTGAGGGGCTTCGCCGTACTATTTTGCATCGGAGTCCTCTCTCTTCTGTTGATTCTGTGGTTAATGAGTTATTGGCTAAAGAACTTCGCTTCAAAATAGCTCCCAGCAAAGGATTGCTTCCTTTGCCAACTCAGACAGTTCTAGCCGTTTCTACTGGTCATTTTTCTATTACTCCTAGCAAATCCTATGCTCGTGCTCCTATGGATGAATGCAACTTTTTTCATCAAAAAGGTCACTGGAAGGCTCAGTGTGCTCGGCTTTTGGGTCGTCCACCATTTGGGTAATCACCGACTTGCAGAAAGAATTCTGATAGGCATTCTGGCCAATCATCTCTTGGAAAAAGGGACATACAGCTGCCACGACTTCTTCAATGGATGATTCCTCTCCATCTTTGACTTTTATTGTTGAACAACTGCAGAAACTCCTCTCTACTCACACACCAAATCCTTTAGCTGTCTCCTCACCTCTTGGTTTGTCTTCCTCCTCCTCATCTCCTCTAGGTATATCTCGTTCCATATGGGTTTTTTATTATAGTGCTACACATCATATGACTCATGATTCCTTCCTCTTATTGTCTATCTTTTCACCTCCTTCTACTACTACTATTATGGTCACCAATGGTACTCCTATGTCTTTGGATGGGGTTGGGTCCATTTTGACTGATACCCTCTCTCTCTCGGATACCCTCTCTCTCTCGGATGTTTATTCTATTCCTCAGTTAACTTTAAATCTTATTTCTGTTAGTCAACTTTGTGTCATTGGTTATTGTGTTTACTTCTTTGAATCTGGTTGTATTGTGCAGGATCCTCATTTCAAGCAGCTGATTAGGACCAGTTGTAGGTTAGGAGCTTTATATGTTCTAGAGATGCTGCATGTTCCTCCCCTTACTGCATCTTCAGTTGATTTATCTTCTTTTCGGTTGAGTCCTAAGTCGTCTGTTTTTTATTTATGGCATTCTCACCTTGGTCATGTGTCTAGTTCTCGTTTACAGATTTAGTTTCTACTGGTGTCTTAGGTTCTTTGAGTAGTCATAATACTTCCGATTGTAGTGGATGCAAACTAGCAAAATTTACTGCTTTACCATTTAATAAAAGTTTCACTACTTCGTCTAAACCTTTGGATCTTATGCATTCTAATGTGTGGGGTCCTGCACCCATTCCCACTAAAGGAGGTTCCCGATATTATGTTTCTTTTATTGATGATTATACTTGTCACTGTTGGATTTATTTGATGAAGCACCGGTTTGAATTTTACTCTATCTATATTGTTTTTCGTGCCATGATTCAAACCCAATACTCTTCTGTTATTAAATGTTTTCGATGTAATTTAGGTGGAGAATATCGTGATTGTGATTTTCTTCACTTATTACAGTCCGATGGTACTCTTCAACAATCTTTTTGTGCTAAAACTCTTGAGCAAAATGGTGTGGCTGAATGCAAGCACCGTCACATCATGGAAACAGCTCGCTCTTTGTTGATTTCTTCTTCTGTTCCTAGCTTATTTTGAGGGGAGGTTCTTCTTATTGCTGTTCATATTATTAAATGCATACCCTCCCAAGTGACTTGTAGCATTTCCCCTTTTAAACGTTTACATGGTACTCCTCCTGACTATTTCTCTCTTCGTGTTTTTGGTTGTACTTGTTTTGTCCTTCATTGTGCAACCCATACCAAGTTGTCAGCCCATTCTGCCATGTGTGTTTTTCTTAGGCATGGTGACGGTCAAAAGGGTTATCGCTGTTATGACCCCACAACTCAACGTCTCTATGTTTCTCGCCATGTTGTTCTTCTTGAACATATCCCCTTCTTTTCTATTCCCTCTGCATCTGCTCCTTTCACTAAATCTAATCTTATTTATCTCGATCATTTTCCTAATGTTATCCCTTTTGATTCTTATGTTCACAATTTGTCTCCTTCTGATATTCCCTCCTCTTCTTCCTCGTCTCCCACTCTTACTGTCCCCCCTCCTCTTATTCACACTTATGCTCGTAAGAAACAACATGTTTTGCCTGCAGGTACACCTCCCCTTCCTCCTCCAGTTGTCTCTCCATTACTTGCTGCTAATGAGGCTCCTGTTTCTCGGTATCCTCAACGGGTACGTACATGTCCTACTCGTTATGGGTCTTCTAACTCTTGTTATTCTTCTGAATTTTGTACTTTCTTATACTCCATTCACTCTCTTTCTGAGCCCTCCTCCTATAAGGAGGCTGTTTCTGACCCTCTTTGGCAACAGGCTATGAATGAGGAATTTTCTGCTTTACATAAGATTGGTACTTGGAATTTTGTTGCTTTGTCTTCTGGTAAACATACTGTTGGTTGTCGGTGGGTGTATGAGATTAAAACCAAAGCCGGTGGTTCTGTGGAACACTATAAAGGCCGTTTGGTGGCTAAAAGGTCGTTTGGTGGCTAAAGGTTTTGCTCAAGAATATGGTCTTAATTATGAGGAGACCTTGCTCCGGTTGCCAAGATGACCACTGTTCATACCTTGATTGCCGTTGTTGTTGTGCGTCACTGGCATCTATCTCAAATGGATGTCAAGAATGCCTTTCTCAAAGGTAACACAGTTGAGGAAGTCTTTATGGTCCCTCCTCCTGGGCTCCCTCATGCACCTAGTGAAGTTCGTCGCCTTCGCAAAGCTTTATATGGTCTCAAACAAGCTCCTCGAACTTGGTTTGAGAAATTTTCTATTGTTGTTTGTGACTTAGGTTTTCGTACCAGTGATCATGACTTGGCTCTCTTTCTACGCTCCACTTCTGCGGGGCTCATTATTCTTTTATTATATGTTGAGGACATGGTGGTCTCTGGCGACGATCTTGATGGTATCTCTGCTCTCAAGGCTCACTTGCATCATCAGTTTGAGATGAAAGATCTTGGTTCGCTTCGTTATTTTTTGGGCATTGAGGTGGCCTTTTCACCTCGGGATTATCTTCTATCTCAGTCCAAGTATGCAACTGATGTTATTCAGCGAGCCAAGTTGACCAACTCCTGCACTGTTGGCACTCCTCTCGAACTTAATGTGCACTATACTTCCACTAACAATGTCCCTTTGCCTAATCCTACTTTATATCGGATTCTAGTGGGCAGCCTTGTCTATCTTACCATTACTCGGCTCGACATTGCCTATGCTGTTCATATTGTTAGTCAGCTTGTTTCTTCTCCGACTACTGTTCATTGGGTTGCTGTTCTTCGTATTTTGCGCTACCTTCATGGGTCCTTGCATCAGAGTTTATTGTTCTCTGCTACTTCTTTGGATTTTCGTGCTTTTTCTGATGTTGATTGGGCTGGTGATGCTATGGACAGTAAGTCTACTACGGGCCTTTGTGTTTTCTGGGTAGTTCTCTTATTTCTTGGAAAAGCAAAGAGCAAACTGTTGTTGCTCGATCTTTTGCTGAGGCTAAATATCGTGCTATGGCTACTACCACTACTGAAATTGTCTGGTTGCGTTGGTTGCTTTCCGACTTTGGTGTCTCCACCCCTAGTCCTACTGCTATGTATTGTGATAATACCAGTGCCATTCAAATTGCTCATAATTCTATTTTTCATGAGCAGACTAAACATATTGAGATTGACTGCCACTTTGTGCGCCATCACATACAGCTTCGCACGTTGTCCTTGCCCTTTGTCTCCTCTACTATGCAGCTTGTTGATTTCTTCACCAAGTCTCATACTATCATGCATTTCCGTTTTCTGCTTGACAAACACTCGATGCTTCCTGCTATTACATCATGAGTTTGCCGGGGGGTGTTAAGCATATGTATTAAGGGTAGTTTAGTCATTGGTAGCAATTAAGGTTAGCATAGTTGTCTTATATATATATATATATATATATATTTTCCCTTGTAATTCTTTTTTTATTCAATTGAATAATACGGTACTTAGTTTCTAACTAAGTTTTCATGGTATCAGAGCAAGGTTTTGATAGCAAACCTAAAACCATCTTATTGGTGTTGGTATGAACTGAAGGCAGGCTTATGGTTTTTTCTCTTCGTTTCCTGCCATACACCCTTGCATCGAAGTCGAGTGGGCTCATCCGTGAAGTCGAGTGGGCTTGTTTGTGCTTTGCAAAGTTACGATTCTTCCCCACTGGTATCAGTCACGAAGTCACGATTCTTTCTCAAGACTCTCTCTCTTATCTCACAGTCGCGTTTGGTTCTATCAATCGCGACTGATATTGGCTCATTTGGTTCGAAGATGTGATTCCTACAATCTCGTCCCCTCACGACTTAGGTAATCTGCTTCAGCCTCTCTTCTTCTTTGTGTTGCTGTCTCCTTGTGACTTTTTTGTGGTCTTGTGACTTCTCTGTGGTCTTCTCTGTGAAGTTCTTTATATTCTTGATATCATGTCTATTAGAATGTCAGATTCACTTCAAGCCATTAGCGTGAAGTTAGTGGGAGATAATTATGTTTATTGGGCCTATGTCATGAAAAATTTTTCTTCTGGGTAAAAATATTTGGGATGTTGTTAATGGTGATTCTTCTATACCCACTGATGCCAATGTTGAAAAGTTTCAAGAATTGCTCTTTACTTGGCAATTACTAATGCCAGGATTATTACTTGGATTAATAATTCTGTAGATCAGTCTATTGGGGTTCATTTTGCCTAGTTCACTACTACGAAACAAATTTGGGATCATCTATCTCAATTGTATGTTCAATCAAATTCTGCTAAACGGTATGTTCAATCAATTAGAACATGAGATTCGTGCTACTCAACAAGGCGATAAGAGTATCCAGGAATTTTATTCTACCATGACTGGTCTGTGGGATCAATTTGCTTTTACTGAGCCTAAGTCATTGAGCACTCATGCAACATATTATACTTATCGGGAGGAGCAGTGGCTGGTTCAGTTCTTAATAGCCTTTAGGGTTGATTTTGAATTTTGAGGGACTTCGCGGTACTATTCTGCATCAGAGTCCTCTTCCTTCTATTGATTCTGTGGTTAATGAGTTATTGGCTGAAGAACTTC